GAATAACTTTTGAAAACCATGCCGACATATGGCGAGTGAGCTTATCGAAAGATGCCCATAGCAACACATACAAAGGCATGAGGGTAGCAACTCTTCCATGGAGAATTTCTAAGCTTGGGGGAGTCAGCTAACTCAACTTGCTCTAAGGTGGATCCGCATTGTTTGAAAAATCATGTTTGTTGAAGTGGTGGATTGCCTTGGTAGATAAAAACTTTCACTTCAACTCGTTGCATCTCGGATCCAAACTCTCTTTCTCTCCTTAATTTAAATGAATTTAGTGTACATAATTTATTGTTTGTAATTCTAATGAATAGAGAACATTTAATACTAATGAATCTGATAATATTTTGTTGACAGTTCAAACTTTCGGCAAGAACTACTCCTACAACGTAACGAACAGAAGTAGATGATTCAATGTCTTTGATTTGTTAGACTTTGATATTATCGACCGATTTGTGCATATATGCAGAAATCTTTCTCATTATTATAGTGGATCTTCAAGAAAAAAGAGTTTATATCGAATAAAATATATACTTTGATTTTCTTGTGTTAAAACTTCGGCTCATAAACACAAAAGAATTGTACGAACTTTTTTGAAAATATTAATTTATAAATTATTGGATGAATTCTTCACGGAAGCCATTTGAACTTTGATTATTCGAATTGGAAAACGGTTTAACGAATGACGGACCGTAATATACCAGAAAGGCAGTTGAAAAATATTCAACAACCATTGACAAAAATGTAGGCACTCTAATCATTTCCAACATAGACAAAGGGAAAATGCAGGCATCTACTTTCCAGTTTCCATCCGATTTTGAAAATGGGTCACTTTAACCTCATTGCTTCGTGTCTTCAAGCGTCGAGGTAACCAGATGACGGAATCTTATTCAAACATTTAACTCGGCAGCTCTGCTCACAGCTTTAAATCTTTGTTTACACATTTCCATCACAGATCATGAAACCAGGGCGAAAGCAGTCATATTTGACATCTTGAGCCTCAGCAAGCTTCGCCCACCATTTCTTTATAATGCGATCGATTTAAATTTTGTGATTCGTCAAGGAACAAAATTTGACAATACTGTTTCTGGAATGTGGGTTGTAAGGTGCTTATTCCAATTACCCCACTTGAATGAATGCATGAGCAGTGACGCAGCACGAGCGTATAAGGATTACAAATGTAAATTATGAAGAACAAAGGTTTCTGAAATCCAACAGAGATTGGGATAAAACAAATGGTTGTTTTGATTATTTCTGAATTGGTGTCTTATCTAGGGAGCCAATGACTTAAATAGAATTAAACACAGCCTCGGAAGGGCTAAGAGCCTTTGGAAATTAAAAAAGACATTAATAGGACCACAAATAAAAAGTTTCATTTTTATTATTGAATTTAAAATACAGTTTTGGAAGCCAAAACAACTTCAAATGACTAAAATCCATCATAGTTCATGGCAAAACAGTGAGTTTGAATAGGAATATTATGGTCTTTTCAGAAAAGTACTATATAGCAAAATGGAGCTTGGACATCAGATCTGCAAAAATCCAATACGTCTGTTTGTCTTATCAATTATAAAGCGCTTCCTTGTTTTACTTTTCCTCGTAAAAATCCACTCCAATCTTGTCCTAAATCAGTCACCTTCACTCATAAAGAAGTTGCCTGTTCATCTTACAAAGAACTAGGGTTGACATGAACCTTGATGAGTAGACATATACATCAACCCGACGAACCCAATATTCTTGGTGTTCAGTTGGAATCACAAAAGATCTAATACCATACAAAAGATTAGAATATCCAACTTGATAATCTAGCCTCTTCATGCATTCCAAATTTACTTGTTTCCCCAATCTTGCAGTTTAATTCCACATCGACTTTATCACCGACAACCATGTCAATCATAATATTTTCAGATTAAACAATACTTGATTTTCATGGATGTATTCTTGTGGGATTTCAACTTGCAAGATCTCGTCTTCCTCAATCTTGTTCTCCCTTCTCATAATCTCCTCAACTTGAGAAGAACTTGACCGCGACTTCTCTTGTATTAAAGACACCTCCACATTGGTCTTTTGAGGTACATCTTTTTTTGTTTTCGTTCGTAATTAATTGTGGAGTTTCTCCTTTGTGAATATCCTTTTCAACTTTGATAGGGTTGTCAACTGGTTCAACAACTTCCTTTTTTTCCATTTGCCCAACATGGCGTATCAATTATTTTCTTAAGAGCTTCTGAAATTTTCTTGTTTGCTCTATCAATTTTTCACAATCCAATTGATTCAAAAATCCAGCAGTAGAGTCAAAAGCCAATTTATCATATTTAATTGTACGATCATCAACATCATCAAACATAAAGCCATATGAAGGAAAATACCATTCGACAAGAACTCTTTTCATCTTTCGCCATGTTTTGATCTTCAACTTGCCTTGTCTTTCTCAGGGTTCTTGTAGATGATAGTCTAGATGAAGTCATCTTTACCATCTTCTTTTTTGGAACTTTCTTGATCTCAAAGTAATGCCCGATTACATCTACCCAATCTTGAAAATTTCAACATACAAACTTCCTCCAAAGTAAGGAATATCTTCAATATCTTCAAAGTTATATTGATGAGGACGGGGAATCCCATAACATTCCCCTTCAATATTTAGTACTGTCGTATGAATGTTGCCGAGGATTTCACTTCTCCCATGATCGATTGTCATTAGAACAGCCAAATTCCTGCTCTAATGCCAATTGACGCATTCGAAGTATAGTAAAAGGAATACAAACGCAAACCCAAAAAAATCGGAAAGCTGGAATCCACTAGAATAGTGATAAAATCTCGAAGGTTTTTTTTATTAAACCTTGAATGATGCCTTACATGGAGAGACAAATGACTTAAACAGAATTAAACACAACCTTGGAAAGGCTAAGAGTCTTTGGAAACTAAAAACAAAACATTAATTGGGCGACAAAAGAAAAGTCAGATTTTTATTACATAATCTAAAATGAATTTTGGAAGCCTAAATGACCTTGGATGACTAAAATCCATCATAGGTCACATCAAAGCAGTGTGTTGGAACCGGGACGTCGTGCTAGTCATACTAAACATATTGTCCACGTGGTCTTCTCTTACTGGCTGTAGTTAATTTTTGTCTCCACAATAAACATGAAGTTCCAGAAATTAGCCACAAAGTGTTTTGCGAAGAAATTCATTCACAATTATTTTGAAGCCAAGTATTGTTCATAAGCAGAGATGTGAATGATGAGGTTGTTAAGCATTGTGCTTTTTTAGTACGATCGCCACACCTTAATATGTTACTATTTATTCACTTATGTTATCATACGTAGATTATTTATTAATACTATACTTTAGATCCTTGTCCTTATCATACTCCACCATTATAGGCATACTACGCCTTATTTTTTTAGTGTGAATGATAACATTGAAAATTTTATCCTTTTCACCAAAAATTTCACATATTTTTGTAAAAATAGTTTATTCTATTATGTGTATATAACAATTGTCGTTCATAAGTATGGATGTCGGTAAATCAAATGGTGCTTGAGTCACAATCAAGATAAATTTATGCAATGCTATCGTTTGACTGAAGCCCTTCTAATTCTTGGTCAATTGGGTCCAAAGGTCAAGGCCCTCTTCAGCAAGCCTTCAGAAAAAAGTTTGAGTGCAACTTCCATTCATCCTTAGACTGCTTGATGCCCAGTTCGGCCACCCCCGTCAATCAACACCACGAACTTACCACTACAAAATCCCACTTCGCCACGCGTCTATCTTTGATCAGAAACTTGTATTTATGGTGTATGTCGAAAAAGAAGTAGCGACCAACAAAACATTAGGTAATACGACCAAAATTATAAACAATGATTAAGCTAATGGTTCATGTTGTTACCTATTGGTTAGGTAGTGTTCCCTTCATTCAATGATATATTTATACGAAAGAATTTGAGAAATAAATTAGTTACGGATTTGTCATTTTCAAAGTAAGCTTCAGATCTTTTAAATATTGATTCATTTATCCATGAATATTAGGTACGTACCTTACATCTATTGGTACGGTACTATTAGGGTTTTCATCTCTTCAATTGATAATGTTTATTTGACAATTTATCCTTAACAAACATACACCATGGACGAAATGTTTTTGGAGTAGTTTTAAATAATTTGTGAATAAATAGTTGACGGTGTCACCAAACTTTAAGTTAATTAGAATGCTATCACCACACTCCAAATTCGTTGTATTCTTGAAAATGCTATGGCTCCATTGGTTTTGTCCTTGTTATTAACAAAAGTTTATTAGGTGCTTTTCATTAAAGGTTTTTCTTTTAACTCCACAAGAAGTTAGCTAGCCAAACATCAACAGCCGCACGGAACAAGTTCTCAAGTTGATATATCATGTAAACTGAAAATTATACTTTCTTTCCACCTATATAACGAAGGAAGGGTAATGTTAGATGACTAAATGTGTAGATTTAATTTGGTAAACTAAATGACATGGTTAATGATTAAATTATTATTTAAGTATTAATTAACGTATTTATTTTTTATTAATGATGTATCATTTAGTTTGCAAATTTAATCTACCAATTTAGTCCGGCTAAAATGAAAAATGATAGCTCCTGTTCCAGTAAACGGTTTCTTAATTACCAACTGGCGTTGCACAAAATTGCAGCCAGTGCCATCACCATCAGTACGGGTCTCTCACAGGGTCGGACTTTAACCCGACATTTACTCAAGTATCCAGCGTTACGATTTGGTTCGCATATAATAAGCACTGCAGCGCTCGTATTACCGCCATTGCAGAAACAAAGATTAAATATTTAATCCATCGTCTTCATCGATGTCAGCGAGAAGACGAGACTGACCGAGCCCGCCTCCAACAATGTAACTCGCTCGCTTTTCACGTGTTCTTATTACATACACACCATCCTTTTTCAATTAATATTAATTGTGTATATAGGAGTGGCAGCACAGCAGCTTGATCCTTGCTTGATTATATCAGCCAACAAATGGGGAGTCCTCCTGCGAAGAAAGTCCTGATCACCTCCAATGGCGACGAGATTTCACAGAGCATCGCCTTCTCTCTGGCCCAACGCGGCTGCAGGTGATTAAACCTCAATGGGTTGAATCAAATGGGTGAGATTTCTTCTGTTCTGCGTATTAAAGATTTGATTTTTGTTTGTTTGTTTGTGGTTTTGAATAAGCAGGTTGGTGTTGATGGGAAAAGAGAGCTTCCTGAGGCGCTTTGTGCAGAAAATAACGGCCTCACTGGAGGGTGAGGTGGCGCCGGTGGAGATGGTGGACGTGGACGTGGAGGACGAGAGGGAGGGAGCTTTTGATGAGGCGGTGGAGAAGGCATGCAACATCCTGGGTAATTTGGATGCCTTTGTGCATTGCTATAGTTACGAAGGTCTATAAGTTGACTAATTTAATCTAATTTCTTCGCTCGGAGATGATTTGAAAGATTGTTTTACTTTTAAGTGCTTTGAATCCAGCGATTTAGCGGGTTATCCAATCCAAATCAATACTGTGTGCCAAACGAGGTGAGGAGAAATACTTGACACTCGGTTCTTGTAAAGTTCTAATAAGAAATTTACACTTCAAAAATCTCATTTTTCACTCTAAAATTTCTATTTAAAAAATAAAATGTGAGGAGGAGTGTAGAATATAATTTTAGAGTGTTAATAGCAATTCCCAAAATGTATATACAATGAATAAAAGAAAACAGGGGGAAAACTTGGATTAGAAAATTGTATTAAGTGAACAAATTTTTTCTTGGAAATATGTTGATCCCGCGTTAAAACATGTTTTAACAAATTATTTTACATTCGGGCATTCTTCGGTTTTGTGCATATATGTAAAGTTTGTTGCAGTAATTTTTTTTTTTTTTTTTTTTTTTTGGGACAATGGGATTGAGCTGGTGGAGAGTTCTCAGCCTCAGGTGGCGAAGTGCAAGCAAGCTTGCTGCTGCTGCCGGTGCTGAAGGTGGGGCGGAGAGAGGTTGCTCTATGGCGGCGGATGATATGTGGCAGTCATTAGGATTTGCTTCCCCGATGATGCATGGCAATGATGAGAGAGCATGAAGAGTTCATACCCAAGTTCAAAAAGGAAATGGAGGTTGAGGAGAAGTTGGCACGTGAGCGTTTGTAGCATAAACTTTTTTTTTTTAATTGTGGATTAAGAAAGCTACATTATGCATATTGAGTGTGATTATTCTGTAAACTAATTTGTTTGGCATGAATTTCTGTTATATTTATTGGCTTCAAGGGGAAGGGGGAAAAAACACGCGTGAGAGGAAGAATAATTGGAAGCTTTAGCAAGTTTTACATAATGGTTGCCAAGGGGGAGATTATCGGCTGTTCCCGAGGATATGATGTGATCACGTGATGGAACACGGCAGGGATATATTTCATTGTTCCTATCTCTTTAAATTACGTGACATGATCATGTGATGAGATATATAAAAAGAGCAGAATATAACTCTAGCTAGTTGTATGCAATAATCTAATAATGTGAACAAATATATATTCCGATTGTATGCAATCATTTTAATAGATATAGGATGATTCATCAGAATTGTATACAGCATTTTTGCTTTTCAACAATTTACCAGATATCATCATGAGTACCAGAATTCAAAGTAATGCCATGATAAAAGATGGTTTCAAATTCGCAGCATGAGCGTGAGACAAAGGTGGTCTTGACGTAAATGAAGAATAATCTGAAGAAATTAAGACACAGAAATCTTGAAAGAGAAACCTCGAGACAGAAATGACAGCAACTGATAAACGTGTGAATAATATTCTGTTACAAATGAATGAAACTTAAACTATAAAAGAAGGAAGAAAGGCGTATATTATAGAGACAATTAGATATAAATCCAAATGCACAATGATTGATTGCGAAATTGAGATAAAACTTTGTCAACAGACTCACAAGTCCATCAGCACACTGAAGAAAGATGATTACCATCTAATATCTCTTATCTTTTAGCTTGATTCATCAACACTCGCTCACTCACAAATACGCCCACACTGAAAGATAATATTACAAAGCACAATATTGACATCCCGACACACAAGGGACGACCACTGTCCGTTTCTTACAACTGTGGTTGCTACAGCTCCAATACCAAGTCTGCAATGCAAAATGCAAATAGTACAAAACTGTTAAATGTATTCATAGTAGATTCAGTTTTTCCAAACCTTGAGTACATAATGTGGTGCTTATGTGGAAAAACTTGCTGCGAAATGACCAGATAGATCCGAGCGAGTTTTTCTTTCATGAAATGACAATGTATTCAGAAACATTGTTTCTTGGGTTAATGAATTCTGGACGTTAATGTCATATTACAGATAATTTTTATTTTTACTTGGGTTTTTCAATTCCTTTTTTGTTTGTTCCAAGTTTATGTGTGCTGCTTTCCTCAAAAATCATTTTCTAGAAGTACAACAGTAGGATATAGAGACTTTGAAAGAGATTGTAAGAAAAAGTACGGAGTAACGGAAGCCTTTGCACAAAACTGAGCGCACTGGCATTCTAAGATTCATACAGCCAGGTTTGGTATTGCTGTACTTTGAAAAAAAAATTGCTTCTGCTGTGCTGTGAGAATAAGCAGCTGTGAAATAAAGCAGCAGAGTGTTTGGTAAACTTTTTTGTAAAAGTGCTTTTGAAAAAAAAATAAATAAAAAAAGCAGTATTATAGTGTTTGATAAACTTTTATGTAAAACAGATGTGAAAAAAAAGCTAATTTTTCAAAGCTGGGTTTTGCAGCTTTGTGTTTTTGGCTTTTTTTTCACCCAAAACTGTGAACAAAAGCTTAAGTTGAATGTTTACCAAACATAAAAGAGCTCCCAACTTTTTTGATTGCCATTTTTTTTCAGAATCAGCTCAGTACCAAACTAGGCCTAGTGGGATAAAGCTTGGTTGTTGTTGTACAATAGTAGGATATAGGTTCAGTTCATTGTGGTTCTCTTAAAGTTTCTTTTTTCGAAAAGGCTGATGGTAGAGTTTGAACTTTTTCTCAGATGTTGTAAACTTTTTGTTCTCCTGGATTTTTGGTGTTCTGTACTTGATTTGCAGAACCTGTGGGGACTAAATCAAATTATGTCAGCAATGCATAAAAGTGATACTTACATTCTGCATCTGTTTTGATCCAGTGCTCTCCCTTTCTCCTAGAACCGCTGCCACTCTGCCTGTATTGGGGAAAGTTCATGAATTTTTTACAATTTTCAGTCCCCTCCTTTGCCCTTGCCCCGTCAGGGAACCTTCCGTTGTCTTCCCCCATGAGCATCATATTTTCATTACAACCACTACCTGCACTGGAATTATTCTTCTTCTCATATTTCTCGGACTTGACCGATTCTCTAGCAGCTATAGAGCTTTCAGGATGGATCCTTCTATGGAACATACGTAAGACCTGCATGTAAGACACAATAAATTTGAATGTGAAGTTTTATCTTTTTTTATTCCCAGTATAAGTAAAGGCTGCACCAGGCAGTTTGGGACAAATTATTAAAAGAATGATTGTTGTCTGAAGAAGACATCTAATGGAAACACTACTATATATTGTTTAACTGTTCTCTGTGTGTATGTACTTATGTACCTCCGTGTGTGTGTATTTGTGTGTGTGTGTGTGTGTGTGTGTGTGTGATGAAGAGCCATCAGATGCACTGTTCTCAGAAGATCTAGCTGTAGGAACCCAACCTTACGGGGTTTCTTCTTGGTTGAAAGAGAATCAGATGCCTCACCAAGTTTCTTCTTGATGGAAACAGAATCAGTTGCATCACCACCTGTAGAAGGGGAAGATCTCTTTGAAGAAGCATGGAATTTTTTAATCATCTTCTTCATGAACCCCATTGCAGATCTATGCTTATGTTTGACTTCTATCTCCTCAATCTCACTTTTCTCCTTATAATCAGTTGTGATTTTGGTCCTATCAAACAGCTCTTGCAGTGATGTCTTTTCTTTCTTTGCCTCCATTGTTGTTTCTGGTAATTGAGTTGAGGACCCAAAGAGATATCCTTTGAGCGGATATGCTGCAGTCCAGTATTCTTCATCTTCGGATTCCTCCATTTGCATGCCACTGAGTGTAATAGAGCTAGCATTACTGTCCCTTGCTGATGATGCACGGACCCCTTCTTCCTTTGTCTCAGCCTCAAGAAACTTCTCTAGCTCATAGCTGATGAGCTTCAAGTCGTTCTCTGTTACCTCTGCTTTTTGCTGAGTTAAGTTCTCTAAAGTCGTCGCAAAAGTTGGTGTTTCAGGCTCATTGATACTTGATTCTGAGCCAAGAGTTCCAATGGTGAGAAAACCATGAAACAGCTCTGAGATGGTACCAGATGTTTCTTCTTCTCTCTTGGCTTCAGATTCAGCAAAAGATTTTTCTTGGTCTCTTGCAGGTGGCTGCAAGGATGTAGATCCGTATCTGGAGCCAAAGTTTGACTTCATATAGGCATCTTGGTCATCAAGTGATGGCTGAGCTGAGAAGGCAAACAAAAGGGTTCCCTGAAGTTAGTTACACAAAGAATTAGGTCCGAAAATAACAATGGAAGAAAGGATTGATCTGTGCATATAAACACGTCATCTCAGTGGCTGCACTGCTCGCCAAATAAACTGTCAGCTGATGGCTGAATGACTTCATTAGTTAGTATAAGTTGGTCCGTGGTCGTGAGACCACTTGGTTTCCAACTTTTTCTTGAGATTCCGAGATTTTTTTGGACAAGCAGAATTCAAATATCGGTTATTCATGTTAATTATGTAGAATTGATGAACTCTTAGTTCTTAACTGCAGCATAATATAGCAAAGTCGATTGTTATGCTAATTTTGTAACCTGATTATGTGTGAATTCTTAGTACATTACTTAGCATTACTTACTGAGATCCTTGCAAGGCTCAATGCTACCGTGCCGAAATTTGTAGTGCACCCATTGTAATAACTGCATCAATGTAAGTAATGCTAAGATAAAGTCAAAAAATTGAAAACAACTCTCGTTATAAATTTGGTTCGAGTGTACACGTACCTTCATTTTCGTGTTTCTTTGAGGTCTTGATGTTATATTAGTTTGCATGCAAGATTGGCTTTAAACAGAGATGCTACGAAGAGGGGCAGAACAACTTCTTTTCGTTAGGAATTCCAAGCGAGGTGGAAGTCACTGATTGCTAGAAGAATCTGACGATGGTTGAGTAGAGAGAAACATTTAGAAAGATACAAGACTGTAGTTGGCTATTCTTGTCAAGGCCAAATCATGTAAACAAATTGAAGGGTGGTTCGAGTATGCATTAGTATATTAGTAAAGTCGTATGTAAGCTTTAATCAACGTGTAATAATGTTTCACATAAATCTCCATAAACGTCGTAACAATTGCGGTTTGGAGTATCACAACGATGCACCCGAGGGGAAAAGGGGTATAGGCAATTCTGCTTGTTTCTTTCTGTATACGGTACTAATAACAATACTAATACCAGTAATCTAAACCTTTCGTGCAGTTATAATTTTGACGTCAGTGGCTATTGATCGAGGTTTGGTTTCGACCGGTTGTCTTGTTTATCATGTCTAAGTATCTTATGGATGGAGGAGGCAGTAGGTCAAGGTTGCTGGCCCAGAAATATTAGCATGGCCCGCGCGCATCTCTGGAAGTTACGTATTTATGGAAAGGGTAATGCTGCTGTAGGCTTAGAGACAAAGCCATTAGCCCTTCGTGCTTGCATCCTCGATTAGACCTCTTACTGTCTTACAAGTGGGCTCGGTAGTTACGCGTGGCAGATAAAGCATAGAAGGGAGATTTTTTACTGTGTTTAGAACACAGACACATACTGATATGCTATTATATAAGTGCATGAACACTTGAAAAAAAAAGATCTCTCGTACAATGATATGAGGTGTACCACCTTGTGTTCCGAATGTACGGAAAAATCTCTCATCGAAGAGAAAGGAAGAGTCCTTTACAGAAAGTACATTCATAGTTTATGCACGTAAACCGAGTCTAAGAATTCGCTTCAAAGCATTGAATATAACTGCTTTTGCAGAAAGTATATTGATAGTTGCAGAATTTGTTATGCAAATGCAAGAGATGTATCGTGTTAGTCCGGTGGGTTTATATACCGGACATTCTATTGTTATGTCGTCAATATTGTGTTAAAAAACAAACGTTCTGCACATGGAAGTAACCCGTAATATGAATAGCCTCTTCGTTTCGTTTTGTTTTCCTTTTTTGGGACAAGACTGGTGAATAATGAGTCACCCTCTATAATTGAGACAAGCTTGCCCAAATCTGTCAAAATACCAACCATTAGTTTTAGGGTATCCTTATTTTTAGCTACTTTTGGAGGACCAAAGACAGGGACAATCACAGCCCATTTCACCTTCCACACACCACAACAAACACTTCCAATCCAGTAGTTTTGGAAAAGTATTGGATTGGACAGTTTCTGTTTTTTGGTCTGGTTCATATTCTTTGTTGTTTTTGTATGGTATGGAGTTACTGCATGATCATACCCATCAGTATTGTTATTGTTGAAACTAAGTTCGTTCTTATTTGCATGGAACTTGTTCATGATCATGATATGATAAGACCCCAACTTAGAGAGCAGTTGAGCGGATGAGGATCCTCTCCGGACCCTCTTCGGTGGGATTCTAGAAATTCTCATATCATGATCGTTCATCGTACATTATGCGATCAGTTTTCGTCAGATATTATTTACATTTAATTTTAAATAAATAAATCTAAAATAATTTCTGACCGCATGATGTATGATAAACGGCTAAAATGTGAAGACCCTTAAAATCCCCACAACTTGGATCTGGATGGGATCCAAATCCCAGTTGACCCATCTTAATTTTTTTAATTAGTAGATTAATTTTTTAATTAGTAGATTAATTTTTTAATTAGTGGATAAAACCAATTTGGTTTCTAGGCATTGGATTATCATCATGGATGGTTGCATTTCCCTATAGTGTTAGACTTATATTATTTTTGGGAGTTGTTACTGAGTTTCAAAAAAGTAATCTTGCACTTCTTGAATACATCTTCATTTGTGTTTTCATAACCTTTTTTTCTATTGGGTTACAAAAGATTACTTTCTCAAAGTGCTAATAACACACCTTAACATTTTTCCAATGTGTAGAATGGGGGTTAACACGAACTAACAATACTTGAGTAGTGTGAGATTGAGCGGACCAAAATAGAGGGCGTTATGATTTTATGCAAGCTTCCCTACTTATGATGTGGTCGGATCCACCTACGTAAATTTTCTCTTGAAACCATATCAAAACTATCATAGAAAAGATATTTGAAATCGTTGACATATTATGACAACTTTCACACCAAGTGGTTCTGTATACGAGACTTGGTAGGACTAAATTACAATGTTATTCTATGCTTTTATGATAAATGTCTTACAAATGAAGAATAACTTATCTATACTCGAATGCCTTATGACATCCTGAACTAATGACACATTATTACGTGCTTTAACTTTTGTACGTTTCATTATATCATTAGTTTTGAATGCCACGTCGAAATCACCTCAAGAAAAATTAACATAATTTAACCCAACAAAAGACATTTAGCTTAACGTAATCAAACATCCTACAGAAGTTTTTCTCTCGACGCAAAAAACAAAATGATAAAATAGCATTCACAATGTACATTATCCTTGAAACAGCTCAGAGGTGATGACAAAATACAGTGACCATGATGGGGTGAGACACGCGGCATATTTTAATTGGACCAACAAAAATTTACCCGTGTCCGGATTGGTTGGATAAACTGAGTTTCAATAAACTTTCCAAACGCCTCCGGTACCTTGTCCAGCTCCGTCTCTGCAACTGCACGCCTCCCCACACGCCATCCCTCGAAAATCCATTGACCTCGATTGAATAAAAATAATATCCCTATTCATATCCCAGCAATCCACACCGTCTGATCACCATCTCACAGTCATGGGGACCGAATCATCGGCAGCGTCCGTGGAGATATCAGAGCCGTTGCTTCACGATTCCGACGACAAAATCAAGGCCGTCGACTCCGACTCCGACGACCGAATCCCCGAATGGAAGGACCAGATCACCATCAGAGGGCTGGTCGTCAGCGCCGTGCTCGGAAGCCTATTTTGCATCATCACCCACAAGCTCAATCTGACGGTCGGGATTATCCCCTCCTTGAACGTCGCCGCCGGGCTGCTCGGATTCTTCTTCGTCAAGTCATGGACTGGATTATTGGGAAAGTTAGGGTTTTCAGTTGCCCCTTTTACCAGGCAGGAGAACACCGTCATCCAGACCTGCGTCGTTGCCTGCTATGGCCTCGCTTTTAGCGGTAAATCTAATTGCTTCTGTTCTGTTCTTCACTAATTAGTATTTATCACATTACTAATTAACTGATTAGCTAGTTCTTAGCTCTCAGTCTCCCACTTTTGTTAGTTAATTTTGATGTTAATCATGGAAATTGGTGTTTCTTTTATCTTGTGTAGTTATATAATTTGTCAATGTGAAATGAATTGTCAGGCGGGTTTGGTTCGTATTTGATTGCCATGGATGAAAGAACATATAACCTAATTGGTTCTGATTACCCTGGTAATCGGGCTGAAGATGTTATTAATCCGAGCTTGTGGTGGATGAGTGGTTTCATGTTTGTTGTCAGCTTCCTTGGCATTTTTTGCCTTGTTCCGCTTCGCAAGGTGACTACTTTTTCTCTGGATATCGATGTCTTATGGGTGCTACCTATGTGTTTGACTTTGAGCTAATACTGATGTTAACTTTCTAACTGAATACTGCATTGATTCTGGCGTTTCCATCGAAAGAATCGTCTTTTTAAGTTGATCTTGGCATCTCGATTCATTCGGTTATGCGATAATTGTTAGACCCTTTGATAGAAGCAGTTGTTCCTTGATGTGTGGTCGTTGGCTAGGACTTTTTTATGACAGAAGTTAACGTGCCCGTTGGCTACCTATTATGGTATTTTTTGTATACTTGTCTTTTGTTAATGTATCCTATCTCATCTTTATTAATCTGATATCAGGTTATGGTCCTGGATTACAAACTAACATATCCCAGTGGGACAGCCACGGCAATGTTGATAAATAGCTTCCACACTAAGAGTGGTGCAGAGCTTGCCGGGTAAAGCTTCTGTCTCAAACTACTTTTTCCCTTTGTGTCTGTTTTTATAAAAACAGATGCATTAAATGAATCTTTTAAATTAACACGGTCATAATCTTACTTTGCAGGAAGCAAGTTCATGCTTTAGGGAAGTATTTAAGTATGAGTCTAATTTGGAGCTGCTTCAAGTGGTTCTTTAGTGGTGTTGGAGATTCATGTGGATTTGACAACTTTCCTAGCTTTGGTTTGGCACTATTTAAGAACACGTAAGGCTATTGATTCTTCGGTTTTCCAACCCCTCCCCTTCGACATTCTTTCACCCCTTGTGTATAAGTTGAGAAAGCGGCAAACACTACTTGGTGGAGCTAGTGGGGGTCCTTTCTTTTTTATTATTTTCATACCAATTTTGGGATGAAACAAATATCAAAATCAGAATAGAATTGGTGTTTTGGATTCCCTAGTTATGAATGGTGAATTCCACAAAAGCAAATAAAAGGGCTTTTCTAAGGAAGTGGCATTCGTTTTAGTAAGATCTACAATATTTTTACAGCAGTGAAGTTGCTGATGTTTTACATTACTGGCTTCATGCAGGTTTTATTTTGACTTCAGTCCAACATATGTTGGATGCGGTCTTATATGCCCTCACATAGTCAACTGCTCAGTTCTTTTGGGGGCTATTGTATCATGGGGTTTTCTTTGGCCGTTAATATCCCAGTATTCTGGGGTCTGGTATCCAGCTGACCTTGGTAGCAATGATTTCAAAGGTCTTTATGGATATAAGGTATTATGCTTCAATTTCCATTTCAGGCTCACTACCTTGATTCTTAGGCTAATTACATGGGTGTAGTA